AGAGAGAGAGAAAGAGAGAGAGAGAGAGAGGGGGTGGAACGGGAAGAGAGGAAACAAGACAAAGAAACAACTATCTAGATAGATAAATTGACGACCTTGCAGCAAGGTGAAGGCGTCTGCCCTAAAATTCCGTGCCTGCGAAGACATTTATCCCTGCACGATGCGTCTATGTCTAGAGCTGTAAAAGCAGGGTGTTTAATGTGGGAGGTACGTTGCCTCAGAGCACGGCACTCCTTGCTAGTTACATTGTCATTTCTGCTGCTGTTTCATTTTCACAATATAGGAAACGAGTACCTATAATAATATAGTAAATTTTCGAAGTGATTGATAGGAAGGAACCTTTCAATCTTTCACCTCCCCCCTCTCTCTCTCTCTCTCTCTCTCTCTCTCTCTCTCTCTCTCTCTCTCTCTCTCTCTCTCTCTCTCTCCTCCCCCTCTTTCAATTTCAGTCAAGAACACAGATGTGGGATTATCGTTTGAACAACACGATTTCCCGTTGCATGCCACCGGGCTCTTTTTAACATTTATTTTAACAATAATAATATAGGTGATTTTATAGACACAACCTGGATTAATAACGAGGTGGGGTTTCGCTGTCAGAGCCAACCCATAATGAGATGGATACACGGTCCGAGCAGAAAGACGGAAAGACTCGATATAACCCTCCTCCCCCGCGGGGATGGAACCCGGGTCATCTGGGTGTGACGTTGAAGAGCCTGACCGCTACACCACAATCGCTGGTCATGACACTCTCTAACGCAGAATGATACGTTAAAATAATGGTATCTTATGCTGTGTCTTTAAGAACGGCACTTTAACGCCCCTTTCACCATTGTAAGATCACGTAATTCCAAACAAACAAAGAGAACACTAAATTGGGCTCAGAGTCTTGAAAATCACCAAAGTTAGAAATTCAGCCCAGGACCATCTGTGACGTAGACCAACGTGATACCATGATACCAATCCAGCTATCCTCATACCCCATCGTTATATCTCAAAGTCAGTGATAAAAGTATTGCATTTTGAGATACAACAACTTAAAAGTCCCCAACCCAGTTTGTACAGAACTGATTTTACAACTTAGTTCCCAACTCAGTTTGTATAGAACTGATTTTACAACTTAGTTCCCAACTAAATTTGTACAGAACTGATTTTACAACTTAGTTCCGAACTCAGTTTGTATAGAACTGATTACACTGAAATCCCAAGACGACTTGTGCCACACTAGAACATGACCACACCTCGTCCCCCCTCTCCCCCTCTCCCCCTCTC